GATTGGCTCTCTGTTCCAAGCCTGTGGCCAGACTCTCAAACTTCTCTTGAGTAATTATTGGAGAAAAGAGCCTATTGATTGGTTTGCTGTTCCGAGCCTGTGGTCAGGTTCTCGAGCCACTCTCGAATAATTATTGGAAAAAAGTTATTGACTAGTTTGTTGTTCCGACTCAAAAGAGCCTATTGATTGGCTCTCTGTTCCAAGCCTGTGGCCAGACTCTCAAGCTTCTCTCGAGTAATTATTGGAGAAAAAAAACAATTAATTGGTTTGCTGTTCCGAGCCTATGGTCAGGCTCTCGAGCCACTCTCGAGTAATTATTGGAAAAAAACTATTGACTAGTTCATTGTTCCGACTCAAAAGAGCCTATTGATTGGCTCTCTGTTCCAAGCCTGTGGCAAGACTTTCAAGCTTCTCTCGAGTAATTATTAAAGAAAAGAGCCTATTGATTGGTTTGCTGTTCCGAGCCTGTGGTCAGGCTCTCGAGCCACTCTCGAGTAATTATTGAAAAAGAGCTATTGACTAGTTTGTTGTTCCGAGTCTGGCCAAACTGATCCCAGATCTAGGAAACAACAAATATCCGGTTGAATCCTAATTCCATTTTTTTCCTCTTGGGACACGGAGAATGGTGTCTAACAATAGACTATAAAAGGAAGCGTGACAGACGGGCAGAAACACCCATCACCCCGCTGGTCGCTGAGGACCTCGGAAGCGGGAGCAGCGAGTGACAGGCGCTGTTGCCCTTGGCTTCAGCGAACGGTGGGCGACCCCTCCCCGGGTTTCCTCACTGCGTGTTGGTGTCAATGCGGGCGCAGCGGCCACCCCCATTATTCAGATACTTCGTCACATACCTTCATGCAGCACGGGCGACATAAGTAGTAGCATGTTGCAGGAGGCGGCAAAGGGGGCACCGGGTTGGTCGAGGCAGCACGAGCGTGCAGCTGGAGATGATAAGGAGTGTCGGCCTCTGCAGGAGTGGGCGACAGAGTGAGAGCAGGACACGATCGACCACGAGGAAAGAAGGAGGGCGCAGGGGTTGGCTAGCCTTAGCGAGATGACGCAGAGTGTTGAGGCAGGTGATGCAGAGGGCAAGTGCGGCGGTGCGGGCAGAGGGGATGCAAGAGAAAGACCTGCGTCGCCAGTCCAGGGTGTTTGGGTATTGCCTCTCGGTTGGGCATGTCGGTGGGGGAGTTGGAGCGGCAGGCACGGGAGGACCTGTTACAGGCAGATCGCCGCGGGCGGATGGCCGAGGCTTCGAGGAGATTGATGGCAGAGGGCCCGGCTTACGTGCCTTGCAGCCCGTCAGTGCCATCGTCCACCACAGGTGTCAGCACACCCGCACATGTGGAGGGTAGAGGCGCGGCAGAGGCGGCACGGGGCCCTTCGCCGACACCTGTCGGGGAGTGTCCTTCTCCTCAGTCATGGAAGAAGAAGATAAGAGCAGGGAAAAGTCTTAGCACGGTGAGGAGAGTGATCCAGACGATGCGGGCGAGTCAGCCTGGGTTGACCGGTTTACATCCGCGGACACGGGCGATTTTGGGCGGGGACGTTATGCAGATGCAGTAGGATGGCAGGAGAGGGTCTCCGACCGAGCGACGGATCAGCTCATGAGCGCACCCGCTGAGGCGACGTTGCCACATACCGCAGGGCGTACAGCGGGCACGGGCGACCACTTCGAGCACAGTGCGCCCCCCGGGAGGAGCATGGCTGCACGTATATTGGGGGAGGATTTGAGGGCAGCGTCCGTCACAGGCACCAGTCGTTTGGGAGTCTGGCACAGACGATTTGGAGATGCCTTATGGCCAGCGGAGGAGGGTTTCTGTGTACGATCTTCTTCGACCAGAGGGAGGGGTTGAGGCGGCGCCACACGGGGAGATTCATGCTCCGGATACTACGCCCGCGCCGACACCCGACGCAGGTCGTGGGGATGGTGTGACAGGTGTGGTGCGGCAGAGGAGAAGGAAGGACATTGTGGACGATGATGATGCATAGTTCCACCATCAGTCCTCTTTCATCCTCTGATTCGTAGTAGTGTACAATTTATTTAGTGCTTGAGACGAGACCTTGTGTTAGTAGGAGTAGTCTGTAGTGCTTGAGACGAGGCCTTGTGTTCGTAGGAGTAGTCTGTGCAGGTCGTCATGACTGCATTTGTATTTGTACAGGTGATTAGACTATTGTATATTATTTCCATGCACGGGTGCAGTTTGTTTTTGTTTCTTGTTTTATTTTATCATCGACGTTGTAGAGGATTGCACTTTTTTTTAGTATTTCTTCACACACGGGCTGAGCAGGTGCAGTGCTCACAGTTTCATTTTTTGTTTCTCCTGTTATTTTTGCATCAATGTTTCAAACGATTCGACAGTTTTTTCGCACACCATTTAACTGAGTCCAGTGTGGATGTCTCTTTTTTTGTTGTGTGTGTATGGCGCAGCTGTTTCACCGTGTTCTTTCGTTTGCCTGTAATGTTATACTTTCAAAACTTGTGCAATGATTGTTTCTTGCAAATGATGGAGAATGACTCAATGCTTTTGAAAAATTGTGTTTAAATGTTGTTATTCGAACTCATGAACTTCATTTAGTCTTGTACTTGTTTCGTCGTGTGTGTAGGTGAAAGTCCCGACAAAACCCTTTCCAACCCCCAAAGAGTGGCAAACACGGCCTTGGCATGACCATCCCGAACCCCACCCCACCCCCCTTGCCCGCAAA